AAACAGCATGGTCTATGGGCAGCTATGATATCATGCACATAAGTAATGCTGCCTACAGAGCATTCACTAAAAGCCACTGGACTGGCAAAACAAATTATAGTTAACAATATCTGAGGATTTCCTCATGCCCAAGCTTCCAAGTAACCATGCACGTTGGGATTCATAATTTTAGTGAGTCAAGAGACTGAGCTCAAATGAGATTAATCTGACTTCTACAGAGGACTGCCCTCTCAAAGCAGCTTAATGCTAGGTCAAAGTTTCAAGATTCAGACAGCCAAATAAAGAACACTGTAGGCTACTAGGGGGAAAAGGATGGGGGCAGCAGCCTTAGCAGGCAAGGGCACAAAGTGTGAGAGGAGCCAATAAATTCTGCTCCAAGATTTTTTTTAAAAAAGGCAACAGTAAGAGATTGTTTCCAATGTAGAGGTTGCTCAAATCATCACATATATTCTGGGCAGGCTAACTGCGCAATAAGACAATGAGGTAAAGACACCACCATTATCTGTTTCTCTGGATTTCTGGAGTCGTGCTGCTACCGAGTGATGATATGTTCTTGCAACTAACAAACTGTCTCTGCTGATTCCTAAGGTGTGAGAAACTTGGCAGAAGGCAGATGCGGCACACTGCCCTATATTTTGACACTGCTTCCCCTTTCATCAGTGTAAGACCATACACCACAGTCCCTCTCCACTTCTTACAAAATGCTACCAAAGGCAAGAACCCCACACAAATCTTGGAAATTGGCCAAGAAACTGCTTTTTTACAGCAAAGTGGTGAAGTAATCGAGCCAGCTTAAGTGGTGCTTCTCAGATGCTGGAAATGGCCTGAAGCCGCAAGGGCAGCAGGAAAAAGCAATTATACAAGTTAACTGAGTCCGACAAAGAAAAACGGAAGCTTTTCCAGGAGGACACTCTCTAGGGAGCCTGGTCTTGCTGCAATTAACAGCAAAAACTTACTCCACTGTCTTCTTTACAAGAACATTATTTTACGAGAAATTCAGCAAGGTCTTGCAATAGTCCATTTTGCATTCAGAGCACCAATATTATCAATTTATGGGTGTTATCCTATTAACTGATGCAGTCTTTTCTCCCACTGAATAAATGTAAGTGTTTACGGTCATAGTAATGATCTAATAATAACCTTCCTGCAGAGCTGGAAGGCACCTTATGGATCATCGCGTCCAGCCCCTGTCAAGGAGGCACAGTGGGGAATCGAACTCTCAACCTCTGGCTCTGCACAGTCAACCAGATTATGTTCTCGTCTAAAACATTCTTTGAGTAAAGTAAGACAAGTACGTTTTGGCAACGGTTAGCTTCTAAAAGCACTGCTATGAGTGCACAAACTTCAAATGACTTTGTCCCTCAACCTGGAGTCTCACTTCCTAAGTCTGGATGTGAAGCCAATACTCACAAACCATAGTCTGGGTAACAACAACTCTGACCAGAGGTGGCAAGCAAGAATCAAGGGACCAGGCAGTAAAGAATAAGAAAAGCTCCTTTGTCCCACTCTTCTCTGCTGATTCCCTCAGAGAAGAACTTCTGTCCTCTCATGCATCAACAAGGGGACTATTGTCCAAATGGCTAGTTTCTCAAGCCAACTGGCTTTAAGCAGGATTCAAGGAGATTAGGAAGGAGTAAACAAATTTGCTCAAAATCAGGTTTTGGAGATCTTGGTAGGGAGAATCCCTTTTCATCACTTTAACAAGAGGGCAAAGCCAAGAGGATCAGCACCTACCTCATTGCGAGAAGCTGCAGCACGGTGTAACGGCGTTAGCCAAAGGGTGTCCTTTGCATTAACGTTAGCACCTGAGGGTTGATGCAAGATACGGACAGTTGGTCAACAGCAACAAAGCACTTCTTGTCCTTCCACCTTAACATCAGAATTCCTTTTCCCCTTTAAATCTCAGGGTGTACCTGAAGAATTTGTGCTTTTGGGGTTTGTAATAATAATAAGAGTAAGAGTAAGAATAAGAATGCCATTTGTGCACCATCAGAAGCCAGCTTGTCCTTTTCATCATTAACTTGGGGGAAATTTAGCACATGTATCAAGAACCATCTGTGCTTGGTCCACAAAGCTAACACTACCCTGCAACCTACACAGGAAGTTACAGCGGATAAAGCTGCCAGCTTCAAAATAGTCTCACCAAATTGAATCAGAACATTTCCATAAATCTCTGTTGCTCTAGAATCATGACCAGCAATAATAATTTAATGGCAGCAATCTGCCAACTATAGCACTTTCAACATGGAAAGCACTAGAGCACTTTACAGTCCCTCATTCATTCTTGTGATCATCTAAATCACAGGTAGTTCTAATCCTCATTATAAAGACTGCAAGAGGATGAGGAACTGTAACTTTGCAGAACCATAGCTTTAACTGGAGCATGTAAAGCTAAATACAGCAATGCACCGGCTCCATCCACACTGCCCAGGCTGTTCTGCGATTCTGCTACTTCCAGCCATCTCTAATAATTTGATATGCAAGCCTGTCAAAACCATTGCAACCATTTCCCTAAGGATGGGAAAGGCAAGGCTCTCCTCTCTCATTTGGTAAATATCCTCCATTTACTTGTACTGACCTAGGGAAGTTGCAGCCTGCCCAGCGGCTTTTCCATGAAATCTTACTCTGTCATTTCCTCCAGAAAAGGTACAATTAGGCTTCTCCTAAATTTATGGCCTCATCCAGAAGCAAAAGCTTTAGCAATACATGCAACTTTTTTTGGCAAACAGAAAGCACACACTTACAGCTCTTACCTGATAGTATTAGGAGTTCAACGATAGGGGCATCCCCCAAATATGCAGCTGCATGCAAAGGGGTTCTTCTCTCTTGGTCCTGGTTTCAAGAAAATATGGATACTCAGAAGACACACAAGCAAAATCAGAAAGATATGCCCATCATTATTCAGATCTTCTCTTGTCTAGAGATCACCATCCTCTTGAATTTTACCGCAGTTTTGGGGGTTTATTCACATCAAGATGCACTATGGCCTAACAAGTATATACTGTACTGTATTCATTTGGCATTGGGTTTGGAGGTACAGTATTGTTTTTGGAGACAGTTTCAAAAATTTTAAATCTGCATGTGTACACAGTTACTACTATGGCTTTCTTCCCTCCCCACCTCACAAAATTTATCTGCCACAAGCCAGGAATGTCTGCTTAGCAAAAGAGCTCCCCTCAAGCCAAGAGCAACTGTTCATCCTGTAGATGCCCTGGATGGACAGCATACAACATTTCCTTTTGTCCAGGGAGGACAGAAGGCACAGACATCCTGGTTGATCTCACTATCAGGTCAGAATGACATTCTTTTGAGCCACAGATAAAGCTGGCTCATGAGGTATGCATTGCTCTGGAAACTCACTAGTTGTTCTTCACTACTGCCAAGTTAAGCAGACTTGGTAAATTCAAAACATGGGCACTTTGCTCAAAGATCAACAGATAAATGTTACTTTTATTTTTTTGTTCTTTTTAATTAATTACACAGAAAAATTAATTATAAGGAGCTCAGACTAATCTTGTCAAAATGCTATCTAAATTGTGCACCTGTTAAGTTCTGCACTTCCTCAGACGTTTATAAGTTCTTCTATGAAAAGATCAGTAATGGTGAACAGGTTTTCCTGAAAGATAGCATGCCCAACCTCCTGATTTCCCTGTGATCACAGATTTTTAAGTGTGATTTGGCTAGTGATTTTCAACATCTGGCCCACCAGATGTTTTGGACCTCAACTTCTAAGAATCTTTGAACATTGCCCACACTGGCTGGCAATGTCTTTGGGCGGGGGATGTTGAAGAATGAAACATCCAGAGGCCAACAGCTGGAACTAGTAGGCTAGCCATATTCAGATTGGCCTGAGTTAGACTTCACATTAACCAAGACTGTGTGAATCCTCCTGAGGTCCTATAGACATGCTTCAGTTCCTCAGCAAACAAATTCATGCAAAAAGAGAGTTAAGGATATGGGCATAAGCTTCTGAGGAAGTGCAGAAAACCTGGTAGCAAAAAGTTAATCTGATATGACCTCCCTAAAGCCAGCTGGAATGGACAAAGACAACTGAGAGAAAAAGTAAGATAAATGCCGCCTAGAGTGGTTGTAATTGACTAGATAGGCGGGGTATAAATTGAATAAATAAAATAAATAAATAAATAAAATGACAGTGTTTACATATGTTAGGTCACTGAGTATAACAATCATGACAGTCAAATAATTTTGATATGTTTGCATCCATTTTTTATAACTTAACTTTCTGTTCTACATATCAGAAATGTACGCTTCTCTTCAGAAGAGTGCAACCCAATGCCTACAAACACAAATGCTAGCCTTGAATCTCAGAGACTTCTAATACAGATGTTGCAGATCAACATCTGTATCTTCCACTCAGTGATGAAACTCATGTGCAGACATTGTACCTTTTTTCTAATGAATACTCCTCTTTATTTCAAAAAATTAGCGACTCCCTTTCCAGCATACAAGGTAGATTATGGTCAATAAGAAGAAGAAGAAAAGATATGCATCTCTCAGAGCCACAGCTTGGACTATATGAAACCTAGGTACATGAAATATGGTGTATGGAGTGATGCACTCAGGGTTTATTCAGGCATTTAAAAAATGTACTAGCTTGCTAGCTACCTGGAGCAATGGGGAATGGCTTTACATAAGGTGCAGCAATGGTAGTGGGTTTGGAGCATTAACATGCATCTGCTATTAGAGATTCATGTATCAGCAAGCAAGCAAGCAAGCTCCCAGCTAGCACTGAGAATGAATCTGAAGCTTGACAGAGCTTGGCCTAGCTCAGCCTCAAAGCCTTCCACTTGAGTTTTTCTCCCAGGAGCCACAACTTCCAGAACTTCTAAAGAAAACTGAAAATCCATCACTATCTGCTTTGTGGGTCTTAGATGAGAAGGGGGTGAATGTATGAGATGCATGGCTTTCTGCCTAGATGCCAAGTAAGAGAAACTGGAGCTTCTCTTAGCAAGGACATAATATGTCCAACTCTGACAACTACTTAACTGTGTTTGAAAGATTTCATTGTTGTTAAATGAAATTTTACTCAAATAATGCACAGCTCCATACTTTAGCTTAGAATGAATAAAATCAGCTGCAAACAAACTCAACTACCAATTAAAAAGCCAAAAGAGCACCAATAATAAAATTAAAAAACAGCCTTAAAATACCATGTCAAATAGATTCATAACTACTTTGGCCAGCATCTTTTGTATGCTTAGATCCAAAAAAAAAGTTAAAGCAAAAGCTTTAATGAGCAGTTCTACTAAGAAGATGGAGACAGGCTGCGGTATTTCTAGAACACATTTGGAAAGGTTGGAAAAGTGATTCAACATTGAGAGACGCATTGGAAATATATGCAGAGCCGTGCATCCACTGCCAATCTGCACAATTCACTGCAAATAATTAACTAAATTGTCACATAACATTCCAGTACGTGAAGGATACTGAGCCAGAACCAAAGGGCATATTATACTGATATGTGGTTTGCCCTGTATTTGTCTGCCCTCATCTGAAGAAATTAAGAACTTGTGGTGCATGAAATATGAAATTAGTTACTGATTTCTCTATGCTTCTGTGGGCCTGGAAAGCTGACTAGACATGGGATGTTTGTATTCCTATTCCTGGGAATACAAATATAAATATCAGCACCTCAGGTGCCTGAGAAAACCAAACCCTTCCCCCCCCCCAAACCTGCAGATCCACTTACCGCTTGCTGCACAGCACACAGCCAACACTGTTCTCATTGCATCAATTTGGGAAGCAGCCCCACTGGCACTTCCCCACCTCCCCACACAGGTGACCACCCAGTGGGGAGCCCCATCATCCCACCTCCTTACTGGAGTGGTCACCTCTGCAGGGAGGCAGGAAGCGCCAGCTGGGTTGCTTCCCATATTGACGCAATAGAATTATGCTGGCCACGCATGCTGTGTGGTGGGCCATAAGTGGGCTTGCCAGTCTGGGAGGGGTGTCAACTTTTCCTAGGCACCTCTCATGCTTATATTCATATTCACATCCCTAAGGATACGTATATGAATATCCCATGTCTAAGGCTGACCGCACAAGCAAGGACGGACAGGGCTGGGGAGCAGAAGCCTCCATGCTTAACCAAAGGACACTAATGTCTTATCTCTAACCAGGAACTGAAAAGACTCAGCTCACTTCCTTTCTGAGTCCTCGGCAATGGCCTGGGCATCAGGAAGATGCTTTTTGTCCTGACATGAAAAGGATTGAAGATGAATCAGCAACAGGTCTTTAATGGCTCATTTACTTGTATAAAAGAGATTAAGGAAACTAACCAATCAGCCAGGACATCTCTGAAGAGAATAATGCCTTGCTCTCCTGCTTCCAGAAGGGACTCAGTCTGACTTACAAGTAGACTTGGGGTCCATTTGCCATCTTATGATGCTGTGCCAGTTGTCTGCATTTGTGCATGTCCAGAAATACACTATCCCTCTGCTCAGGTGTGAGTACAGATAGCATAGATTAGATTTTATTGCTTTGGGCGCATTTGCTTTCTAATTGCTGTAAGTCCGCTCAGGTGTGAGTACAGATACTGTAGCGTAGATTAGATTTTATTGCTTTTGGCGCATTTGCTTTCTAATTGCTGTAAGTCTGTGTCCACATTTGAAAAAAACATTTCTTGTAACCATTTGGAACACTTACCCCTTTACCCTTTTGAATTGTTTCTTCTTTCCTTTTAAAAAAATAAACTACAAAAATCTTTTCAAGCAAGTTGTTGCATTTTGACTGAGAAGACTGAAGGCATTAAAACTAGTCTTAGCCTTGTTCAGCTATTGGCATTTTTAGCAGTGTTTTGTGTGGGGGAGTGGTGGCAGCTATCTTGCAAGATTGGCACTCCCTTTCTCAGTGACTAGCCTTGAGAATTTTATTTTTGTATCAAATTCTTCAGGGCACATTGGAATCTGGGGGACTACACAGGTGTTGTGGGAATGAGATGGTTCCAGTCAAACATTCCCAGTCTCCACATCTGATTCTCTCTGGGCGCTCCCACCCCAGAGCAACCAAGAACAGGATAGCCAACTGACTGTAAGGAGGCGGATCATGGAAGCAAAAAACCTCACTGAGGTGACTTCAACATGGGAAATTTCAGTTCAACCACTAACAAGCTTGTTATGGGACTCTGAAATGGGAGGGGGGAGAATTTGCAGAGGGGCAACACATTTTGTGGCCATAATACTTTCAAATATAAGTCAGCAAAAATGTGTCTGGCCAAGGAGGGCTATATAGAAAATCACAAAGGTGAACAAGAGATGATAATACAGTGGTACCTCACTAAATGACGATCCCGCTAAATGACAAATCCGCATAACGATGACTTTTTGCAATCGCTATAGCGATTCGCAAAACAGTCATTCCTATGGGGGATTTTCGCTGGACGTCGATTAGGTCTGTGCTTCGCGAACAGTTTGTTCGCAAGACTATTTTTTTCAGCTTCTCAAAATGGCTGCCCTGTGTTTTCCGGACCCATGCTTTGCAGGGCAGCCATTTTCACAGCTGATCAGCGCTCACAAAATGGCTTCCCTATGGGTGATCTTCGCTGGATGATGAGGTATTTTCCCCATTGGAACGCATTAAACTGGGTTTCAATGCATTCCGAAGGGGAAAGGGTTTTCGCATGATGACGATTTCGCTAAACAGTGATTTTCATGGGATGGATTATCGTCGTCATGTGGGGCACCACTGTATAATAGACAGTATAATAGTAGTAATAGTAGTAAGTCACAATTAAAATGGGTCTATTGAACAAAGGGAGAAAGTATCTGGCTCACCAAATCCCAACTGATTCAATGGGCCTACTCTAGTTGTAA